ATTGAGATATGAATAATCTAGTCTTCTTAACTCTAGTAACTTTTGGTTGATTCAGTAATTATGTTAACATGACGTTTGGTTGCTACTAATGTCTTGTTGTCATTAAGATAATACCTTATGAGGATAGTAATTGTTAGTATCTTCTTGTCATTGCCACCACGATGTCGATTTTATCATCGTGCTTTTGGTAAGTTGTTCAAATATTAAGGTTGCTTATCATTTGCTTTTAAGTCCATATCATTTTATTGGTAAAAAATTTTATAATTTTTTCTGTATCAGTTAACTTAAATTTAAAGAATTTAGTTGATTAGTTTTATTTATCGACTATCATAATATTAATATTTTTTCATTAAAATATAATATTATTACGAGGTTAATTCCTTGTATTGCTGTTATAGGAGTGTAGGCCATGTAGAAAAGTAGATTTTTTACCTTAAAATACTCTCTCTGGCTAATACATGTACTTTTTTTTAATTATCATTTATGTCTTTCTACTGCAATATATAATGTTGATTGATGATGTTGGTTTTAATACGAGACTAATTAGATAATGTAATTTTCATATTATGATTTAGTAAATTATATAAATTAAGTGACTTTATATATATATATATACATATATATATATATTAAGGGAATTATTCTAAAACCTTAAGTAATTATAGCTTTATAATTATTAAAAAAAGAAAAACATTATATACATTATGGCTTCTTAATTTCTAAAAAGTTTATATCTCTCATATATATTGTTATATTTTAATAATTGTTATACTTATGTGATTGATATCAACTGTGCTTACATATACATATCAAAAGAATAATTATATTGGTTGAAATTATTTTTATTATTTTTTTTTAAAAAAAGTATAATAAATTTATTATTTTATATTTCAAATATTCTTTACAAAAATTAATTTAAATAGAGCAAACCGCATATTATAAAATCTTGAATTTCTAAAATTTTAATTTAATAATGAAAAGCCTGAAGTAAACTAACCAGTAACCTCCTCCACTCCGGGCGCTCTTTTCATACGTTTATGATCTCCCGCCAAATCTCGTAACCGGTTATCGCCGGTAACCAGTCATAGGATCCAGGCACCGACTGAAAAGAGAAGAACATCCTTCTTCTTCAGAGACGCTTTCCCTCCGCATTCCCTCCGTCTTCGCCCTGTTTGAGGGTCGCATTGTTAGTACGCACTTGTGAGCTTCTGTCTCTGATAAAACCCGTATTTGGAAGTTGAGAAGCTTGTTTTCAGACGACACTTCTGCTTGTCTGTTGTTATTCTTCAGCTTCCTTCTTTGTTTTCTTCCGAGTTCGATGAAGGTTTTGGAAACCTAGGGTTTTCAACGATTGTTAACTGAAACCGTATGCAAGTAGGGCGATTTCTTGGGATTCGAGATAATGAGTGCTGTTAACATTACCAACGTCACCGTCTTGGATAATCCAGCCCCATTTTTGACCCCGTTTCAGTTCGAGATTTCCTACGAGTGCTTGACGCCTCTCGAAGACGGTACTTCCTGCCCCTATTCCTTTACTGAAATTTTCTTTGTTCTTTGAATGCCTTTGGTGTTTAATTGTTATTTGTTGCTTCAATTTGAGTTTGGTAGAGCTAGGGTTATGCTTACGTAATGATTCTTTGACTTGGTCTGCTTGGTTATGAAAAATGATGGGAGGAAACAGAAGATGAAGTTTCAATACCTGCGTTTTTTAAATGCAAAACGTACCTCCGGTTTATTGGAAATGGGGCTGGTTTTCTTGGTGATTGCGTGACTAGAACAAGAAGATGGTTTAACAATTTAAGTAAAAGATATTACTGTGCCTGTTGATATTGAATAGACCATGGAATTTCATTACTGGGAAATGATCAATCGAGTGAAATGAAATTTCATGCTACAAACAAAACATGAAGGGCATGTCTTCGTGGAACCTGTACTTATGTTCTTTAACTTTCTTACAATATTTTAAAAGAAAAAAACAGCTGCTTTGATTGGAATTGAAAACCCTATTTACCATGTAATGGTCTCTCCATGGATGTGTGGTCAAGTTGATTTTGAGTACTAACACAACATGTTGCTGCTCTCAAGGATAATCTTATTGCAGCTTTTTCAGTTCCCCTAATAAAATTTATAAAGCCTTGCCCCCCTTTATAGTGTGTCAAGCGAATTAATTGCTTTGGTTTTCTAGTTAATTGGTTATAGAGGTTTTAACTC